CATAATTTGCACCATTGTCAGCACCGCACTATTGCCAGCACCCACACTATTGTTGCGGCATTCACTATTGCGCTGCAGGTATTAATCTTCACCTATTGCTGCACCAAAGACTATTGAAGGTACTGCACCATTGCTGTATACCCGCACTATTGTTGTATACCCGCACCACATTTGATGTATACCGCAACGCATTGTTGCTGTGATAATTCAAGCATCTGATTGTTGTATGCACTCATAATCTTATTGTTGTACACTCCACACTATTGTTGGCAACTTATCCATTGCTGTAGACAATCAAGACTATTGCTGTATACCCAATTATTGTTGTACACCTGCACCATTGTATACCTTGCACTATTGCTAGCATACCCGCACCATTGCTGGCATATTCACACCATATTGTTGCATACCATTGATGTTGTATTACCTGCACCATTGTTGTACACCGCGACTATTGCTGTATACCCGCACCATGACACTCCGCAATTATTGTTGTGCATATCCACAAATTCATTGTTGCATACCCGTAATTTATTGTTGTGCGCCCGCACTATTGTTGCGCCCGCACTATTGTTGTACACACCCGCACTATTGTTGTGACACCAGACCATTGTTGCATAATCTACACTATTGTTGTATACCCACCATTGTTGTATACCCGCACTATTGTTGTATACCTGCACCTGATTGTTGCATACCCGCACCATTGTTTACGCTACAATTGGCATTGTTGCATACCCGCACCATTGTTGCATACCTGACCATTGCCAGGTGCGCCCACATTCATTGCTGTATACAACACCTGCACCATTGTTGCACCTGCACCATTGCTTGCATAAATTCAAGACTATTGTTGCCAAGCACCGCACTATTGTTGTGACACCCGCACCAGTTTGTTGTGGCGTCTTTGGCACCATTGCTTACCGCCCAGTAATCTGCTATTGCTGCATACCCGCACTATTGTTGTGGCAATTCACACCATTACACCGCACTATTGCTGTATAATTTCGCACTATTGCTGTATTACCCACACCATTACAGCACCCGCACCATTGTTGTATACCCGCACCATTATTGTATAATTCACCACATACAGTATACTTGCACTATTGTTGTATACCCGCAATTATTGTTGCATACCCGCACTATTGCTGTAGTATTATTACCCACACTATTGCTGTACACCCACACTATTGTTGTGGTATACCTGCAATTTTATTGAGCATACCCACCATTGTTGTATAACGCACTATTGTTGTGAAATTTGCCGCGGCACCCGCACTATTGTTGTAATAACGCACCATTGTTGCATACCCACACCATTGCTGTATACCTGCACTTATTGCTGTACACCCACCATTGTTGCAGACACCCGGCACTAGCTGTTGTTGTATACCACACTATTGTTGCTGTATAACGGCACCATTGTTGCATACCTGGCACTATTGTTGTATACCTGCAGCCATTGTTGCATACCCGCACCATTGTTGTAATCCCGTTATTATTGCTGTATACCCGGCACTATTGTTGTATATACCTGCACTATTGTTGTATACCTGCGACTATTGTTGTATACCTGCTAATTGTTGTTGCGAGCACCTTACAATATTGATGTATACCATAATTATTATGCCAGATATACCTGCACTCATTAAGGTATACTCCACACTATTGTTGGGTATACCCGCACCATTGTTGTATACCCGCACCATTGTTGTATACCCTAACTATTGTTGTATACCCACACTATTGTTGTATACCTACACTATTGTTGTATACCCGCACTATTGTTGTATACCTGCACCATTGTTGTATACCCACACTATTGTTGTATACCCACACTATTGTTGTATACCCGCACTATTGTTGTATACCTGCACTATTGTTGTATACCCACACTATTGTTGTATACCCGCACTATTGTTGTATACCTGCACCTCATTGTTGTATACCCGCACTATTGTTGTATACCGCACTATTGTTGTATACCTGCACCATTGTTGCATACCCACACTATTGTTGTATACCCGCACCATTGTTGTATACCTGCACTATTGTTGTATACCTACACTATTGTTGCATACCCACACCATTGTTGTATACCCACACTATTGTTGTATACCTACACTATTGTTGTATACCTGCACTATTGTTGTATACCTGCACTATTGTTGTATACCCACACTATTGTTGTATACCCAATTATTGTTGTATACCTACACTATTGTTGTATACCCACACTATTGTTGTATACCTACACTATTGTTGTATATCCACACTATTGTTGTATACACCTGCACTATTGTTGTATAACCTACACTATTGTTGTATACCTGCACTATTGTTGTATACCGCACTATTGTTGTATACCCACACTATTGTTGTATACCTGCACTATTGTTGTATAATCAGACTATTGTTGTATACCTACATATTGTTGTATACCCACACCATTGTTGTATACCCGCATATTGTTGTATACCACACTATTGTTGTATAATTGCACTATTGTTGTATACCCACACCATTGTTGTATACCCACACCATTGTTGTATACCCGCACCATTGTTGACACACTATTGTTGTATATTCACTATTGATACCCACACTATTGTTGTATACCTACACTATTGTTGTATACCTGCACCATTGTTGTATACCTGCACTATTGTTGTATACCTACACTATTGTTGTATACCTGCACCATTGTTGTATACCTGCACTGTTGTATACCCACACTATTGTTGTATACCACACTATTGTTGTATACACCGCACTATTGTTGCATACCCCACACTATTGTTGTATACCCGCACCATTGTTGTATACCTACACTATTGTTGTATACCCACTTATTGTTGTATACCATAATTCATTGTTGTATACCCACATCATTGTTGCATACCCGCACTATTGTTGTATACCTACACTATTGTTGTATACCCACACTATTGTTGTATACCTGCACTATTGTTGTATACCTACACTATTGTTGCATTATCACTGTTGTATACCACACTATTGTTGTATACCTGCACTATTGTTGTATACCTGCACTATTGTTGTATACCCACACTATTGTTGTACCTGCACTATCATTGTTGTATACCTATTAATTCATTGTTGTATTACCCACACCATTGTTGCATACCCGCAATTCATTAGTTGCACTCCACACCATTGCTGTATAACAATTCACACCATTGTTGTATACCGCACACCATTGCTGCATACCCGCACTATTGGTTGCATACCCATTAACTATTGTTGCATACTCCACACCATTGCCAGCATACCCACACCATTTTTGCTGCATACCCGCACCATTCCTTTGCATACCCACACCATTGCTTGTGGCACTCCGCACTATTGTTGTATACCCATATTCATTGTTGCTGTATACCCACACCATTGTTGCATACCCACCATTGTTGTATACCCACACTATTGTTGTATTACCCACACTCATTGTTGTATATACCTGCACTATTGCTTGCATACTCCACACCATTGTTGTATACCTGCACTGTTGTATACCTGCACTTTATTGTTGTGACACTCCACACCATTGTTGTGGTACCCACACTATTATTGCATACCACCATTGTTGCATACCCGCACCATTGTTGCATACCCACACCATCAGTTGTATACTACACTATTGTTGCATAATTATTATCTATTGTTGCATACTCCACACTCATTGTTGTATACCTGCACCATTGTTGTATAACAATTACACCATTGTTGCATACCCATACCATTGTTGTATACCTACACCATTGTTGTATACATGCACTATTCTTGCATACCTACACTATTGTTGTATACCTGCACCACGTTGCATACCCACACCATTGCTGTATACCCACACTATTGTTGTATACTCCACACTATTGTTGTATACCCACACCATTGTTGTATACCTACACTATTGTTGCATACCTGCACCATTGTTGTATACCTACACCATTGTTGTATACCTGCACTATTGCTTGTATACCTGCACCTTATTGTTGCATAATTTACACTCATTGTTGTATACTCACACTATTGTTGCATACCCACACCATTGCTGTATAATTCGCACCATTACTGTACACCCAACACCATTGTTGTATACACCACCATTGCTGTATACCCACACCATTATTGCATACCCGCACCATTGCTGCATACCCACACTCCACAAGTTGTATACCCACACTCATTGTTGCATACCCACACCATTGCTGTATACCCACACTATTGTCATTGCATAATTATAATTCATTGCTGTATATACCTACACTATTGTTGTATACCTACACTATTGTTGTATACCTGCACTATTGTTGTATACCTGCACTATTGTTGTATACCTGCACTATTGTTGTAATCCCGCACTATTGTTGTATACCTGCACTATTGTTGTATACCTGCACTATTGTTGTATACCCGCACTATTGTTGTATACCTACACTATTGTTGTATACCTACACTATTGATGTATACCCGCACTATTGTTGTATACCTGCACTATTGTTGTATACCTACACTATTGTTGTATACCTGCACTATTGTTGTATACCTGCACTATTGTTGTATACCTGCACTATTGTTGTATACCCGCACTATTGTTGTATACCTGCACTATTGTTGTATACCTGCACTATTGTTGTATACCCGCACTATTGTTGTATACCTGCACTATTGTTGTATACCTACACTATTGTTGTATACCCGCACTATTGTTGTATACTTGCACTATTGTTGTATACCTGCACTATTGTTGTATACCTACACTATTGTTGTATACCTACACTATTGTTGTATACCTACACTATTGTTGTATACCCGCACTATTGTTGTATACCCGCACTATTGTTGTATACCTGCACTATTGTTGTATACCCGCACTATTGTTGTATACCTGCACTATTGTTGTATACCTGCACTATTGTTGTATACCTGCACTATTGTTGTATACCCGCACTATTGTTGTATACTTGCACTATTGTTGTATACCCGCACTATTGTTGTATACCTGCACTATTGTTGTATACCTGCACTATTGTTGTATACCTGCACTATTGTTGTATACCTACACTATTGTTGTATACCTTGCACTGTTGTATACCTGCACTATTGTTGTATACCCGCACTATTGTTGTATACCCACTATTGTTGTATACCCAAGACTATTGTTGTATACCTGCACTATTGTTGTATACCTACACTATTGTTGTCTGCACTATTGTTGTATAGCTGCACTATTGTTGTATAATCACATCATTGTTGTATACCCGCACTATTGTTGTATACCCGCACCATTGTTGTATACCTGCACTATTGTTGTATACCTGCACTATTGTTGTATACCTGCACTATTGTTGTATACCTACACTATTGTTGTATACCCGCACTATTGTTGTATACCCGCACTATTGTTGTATACCCGCACTATTGTTGTATACCTGCACTATTGTTGTATACCTGCACTATTGTTGTATACCTGCACTATTGTTGTATACCCGCACTATTGTTGCATACCTGCACTATTGTTGTATACCCGCACTATTGTTGTATACCTGCACTATTGTTGTATACCTGCACTATTGTTGTATACCCACACTATTGTTGTATACCTGCACTATTGTTGTATACCGCACTATTGTTGTATACCTGCACTATTGTTGTATACCTGCACTATTGTTGTATACCTGCACTATTGTTGTATACCCGCACTATTGTTGTATACCCGCACTATTGTTGTATACCCGCACTATTGTTGTATACCTACACTATTGTTGTATACCTACACTATTGTTGTATACCCGCACTATTGTTGTACACCTGCACTATCAAGGCGTATAGGAAACTATACGCCCACAGCTAACGTACACCGTATACCTACATTGTCTATATTCATGCTGAACCGTATAACTTATACGGCCGTAATGATCAATGCTGTTAGGGGCCACAGCAAAAATAAAAAGTATAACTTTATAGCTAATAATAATGCATGCCTATCCAATTGTAAACCTGTATTATTATTATTATTATTATTATTATTATTATTATTATTATTATTATTATTATTATTATTATTATTATTATTATTTTTATTATTATTATTATTATTGTTATTACTATTATTATTATTACTATTATTATTACAAGATTCGCAGTTTCGAAGCAGCGTAAATTCAAGCAGCATTGGTTCAGGTTGAGAAAAGGTAAACAAACAGTACGGATTACAGAAGGAGTTATCTCGTCTGGCTGGCCGTTGAGTCAAACGTTTTGTAGTGCTCAGTAAATTATCTACCACAGTGATGACCTCAGTGGCTTATAACAGGGCCATGGCTAAAAGGAAATTGGGAGGACTTACTGACGACAGGAAAGATTCTAGTAAGTTGAGTGAAAAGAGAATATATATATATATATATATATATATATATATATATATATATATATATATATATATATATATATATATATATATAGTTTTAGTTTAACAAATTTATTGGCAGAGCTTGTAGTACAGTTTGCCTATTTTGAGTAATTCAGTCAGGTCTTGACACTGAGGGTGGTATCACTTTTCACTGCCACGCAGGACAGAGGTTCATACACAAAGAAATACATCATATTCATTAACAGCTATAAATGTATAGAGGTCAGATTCATATGGGTAATGTCACTGTTCACTGCCATGCAGGACAGAGGTTCGTACACAAAGAGATGCATCATATTCATTGACAGTACATATACATTTATGTATGCACACATACAAACATGTACACATATACATACACATACATGTACATATATATATACACATATGCACACATACACGCATACATACACATATACACACATACATACATATACGTCGGTCAGATTCATGTCGGTAATGTCACTCTTCACTGCCATACAGGACAGGGGTCCGACTAATTACCCAAATGTAGCCGCAATGAAGTCAAATAATGGTCCTACATGAATAAATCGGGTTACTAATCACTTCTCAACTAGTATTTGGAGTCACAAAGTAAAAAAAAATGGAAAACGTAATTTAATTTGAGTTAATAGATCGAGTGCATGTACCTAACCTAACCTCGACTAGTATTTGGTGTCACGAAGTCACAAAAAATTGGTAAACTTAATTTAATCTGAGTTAATAGATCAAGTGCACGTACCTAACCTAACCTAACACAACACAACTCAGATTAAATTAAGTTTACCAATTTTTTGTGACTTTATGACACCAAATAATAATCGAGAAGTGATTCACAGCCCGATTTACGCTTGTACGACCATCATTTGACTTCATTGCGGCTACCTTTGGCTACATCTGGCTACATTTGGCTACATTTGCCGCTCCCTCGGTACATGCACACGATCTATTAACTCAGATTAAAGTAAGTTTTCCAATTTTTTGTGACTTTGTGACTCCAAATACTAGTCGAGAAGTGATTAGCAATCCGATTTATTCATGTAGGACCATTATTTGACTTCATTGCGGCTACATTTTGCTACATTTGGGTACATTTGGGTAATTAATCGGACCGCAGGGCAGAGGTTCGTACACAAAGAATGCATCATATTCATTGACACTATATATAGTAGGTCAGATTCATGTGGGTAATGCCACTGTTCACTGCCATGCAGGGCAGAGGTTCACAAGTGAATATATATATATATATATATATATATATATATATATATATATATATATATATATATATATATATATATATATATATATATATATATATATATATATATATATATATATATATATATATATATATCCGTACCTGGTAGTCATCATATAAATGTAAACAGGTTCGGAATCTATGTTTCAATAGCTTAATGAAATAAATAATGGTCCTACATGAATCGTTATCCATTTCTTAGTATTTGGTGTCACGAAGTAAAAAAAAAATGGAAAACTTAATTTAATCTGAGTTAATAGATCGAGTGCACGTACCTAACCTAACCTAACCTAACACAACTCAGATTAAATTAAGTTTACCAATTTTTTGTGACTTTATGACACCAAATAATAATCGAGAAGTGATTCACAGCCTGATTTACGCTTGTAGGACCATCATTTGACTTCATTGCGACTACATTTGGGTACATTTGGGTTCATTTGGGTAATTACTCGCTCCCTCGGTACAAGCACGCGATCTATTAACTCAGTTTAAATTAAGTTTTCCAATTTTTTGTGACTTTGTGACACCAAATACTAGTCGAGAAGTGGTTGGCAGTTCGATTTATTCATGTAGGACCATTATTTGACTTCATTGCGGCTACATTTGGGTACACTTGGGGAATTAGTCGGACCGTAAATTACCAGTATAAATTAGGGAGACGAGTTTGCATCTTTTGATGCTTTTATACTCGCCTCTAAACATATCTCTGGTATATATATATATATATTTTTTATTTATTTTTATATAATTAGGTTAATGTTATGCTTTATCATAAATTGGTTGACTGTAATCGAATTTATTGTATCGCTTGAAAGTTTGTTCCATGTGTCTACCACTTGCTGTGAGAAGAAGTATTTCTTAGTATTTTTAGTGCTTTATTTCTGATAATATTGCAGTAAACAGCAACCACAGAATTCCGGAAATTCACTACACTCAATCGATAGAACTATTTTTTCTATGATAATTTTCTTATGTCACATTAGGTTAGGTTAGGTAAAAAGAAAATACAGTGTAACCCCGCTTTACGCTGTCAATTGAATCCACGGAGGCCCGCGTAAAGTGAACAACAGAACATATGGGATTAATTAAAATAGAGACTGGGCCGATCCCCAGACTCCACTTTTTCCGACACAATACGTACGTTGTAGTAAAAATAACTTCTTAATTTTATGATGGTATGCACACACAAATAATAATTAAGAGAAATATCAATAATATTAGGTTTTTTAACACTTACATTAGTAGAAAAGATGGCTGGGCACACGGGGATGGGGGGTTGGTTCCGAGGCAGAGGGCAGATTATTGGCCCTCACCTGTATCACTTGCATTAATTGTATCACTATCCACCACAGAGACTTGCAGGGCCTCTTTGTCAAACCCTCAAAGTCCATATAAGTCCATATCCTCACTATCACTGACTTGGGCCGGCTGTGGTGGGTGGCGGGTGAAGAATTTGGTAATGTTTTGATGACTGTGCGACCTTGTGCGCACCCTGCCCGCGCGCTTCCCATGTATATGAGTAGATGCACCGCGTAAAATGGGAATTCCTGTTCTGGCGGGGTACCGCGTATCTGTAGAAATGCGTAAAACTGAAACGTGTAAAGCGGGGTATTACTGTATCAGATTCTTTGTTTGCTGTAATCTGCAATTTTACTTTCTTTCTTATATATTTTTTGGGCAAAAGTGTAAACAATGGCTACCACCAGAAGTTGTTTGAAGATTTTCTTTATTTTTCCTATTCTTATTGTTTTGGTGATTTTAAGTATATTAAAAGAAACGACAAGTTTCCATTATGATTTGAAGTATTTTTAAAGATTTTTTGTTATTTACTCTATCCTACAATCATAAATTCCTTGTTAGTGGGCAGGGCATGAAGGATGAGGGAAATTACGAGGTAAAAACACTGATGTTATGGCATTAAAAATTACGTTATTGTCGTTTAAATTGTTGTGTTTTATATGATATTATTGTGTAGAAAAAATTTAAACCAATTCTGACAATTCCTTCTGGTGGTATCCATTGTGTACACCTTTACCATTTTTGGTCAATTTAGGAAAGTAGCCAGGTTGAGAATTCCGTTATTTTATTGTTCTCAACCACATTACCAAACAAAAATAAGACAAATTTCTTCTATGACACTTTCAGTGCTGACGAGGTTAGGCTAAGTTAACACCAGAAATGAAGGTCAGATTCATTTGAATCACAAGAACCACAGGAAAAATGTACAGTATGTTTATTATTATTCAGTTTAGCATGTCTTCAAATCGCATAGAAGCACTTGGAAATTTGATCAATAAATCTCCACCCGCCATTTCTTTTCCCACCGCAAGCTGTCTGGAGCCGTGAAGCGTGCTACACTGCCTGCCTCCGCAGGGGTTAGAGCCCTCCGCAGGGGTGAGGTTAGGTTAAGTTAGGTTAATTAAGTGAAAGTTAGGGGTCTTGATGTTTGGTTTGTGATGTATTTGGATGTATTTTGTTCAGATCTCACCTTCATTTTTGATGGAAAATATCGTTTTTGATCAAGGATGACTTGCATCTTAAAAAAAAAAACGACACATTTCCAATGGAAACGAAGGTCAGATCTGAACAAAATACATCAAAATACTGTACATCAGAAATCAAACATCTCGTGAAAAACACAAGTGTGTGCTAAAATGAATGTGTTTTATATGATAAAATCGAAACCTGGCTCCTGTCATAAATTGACCATATTTTTCTGTTGTTGCCCCTTAATTCATTTATATTTTCTTGAAAGAATTTCTGTACGTATATATAATTAATTTCTTCAACTCTGCTCATTATTTTATACTGTATGTTTCTATCAGGTCTCCTCTCTTCTAGTGTAGTTAGTTTCAGCTGGTGTAAATTTTCTTCATAGGGTAGATGTCTTAATACAGAAACTATTTTTTTTTTTTTTTTTTTACACTCGAATTAGCCCACCTGGGCACAGGTCATCGACCCACAACAGGGCCTGGGGGGCAAAAAATAAGGATAGAAAGAAATTAAAAATAGTAAAGGAAAAGTTTATATTAATCTACACCGAGAAGATGCCGGAAAACCAGCTTTATAAAGTGAGACAGGTTGTATGATTATGGAAACACAGAAGAAGGCAGAGCAATTCCACAGTTTGGCTGTGTGAGGAAAGAAGGATGCACTATAACAGGTTATTCTACTGTGACCGACATCCACAGAGAAATGGTGGGCACTGCGAGCAAGACGTGTGTTACGAGCCCGTGGCCTTGCTGGCGAAGAGAACGGGAAGAAAGATTGTCAACTGAAGGAGGAGAGTTAATAAGACGAAATGCCCTTGATTCCACCCTATCTAACAGCTGGACAGAAGAAGAGCCACCCCAGATATGAGAGCAGTACTCCAAGTTAGGATGAATGAATCCCTTATAAATTTGAAGCAACTGCTCAGGACTGAAGTAGCTATGGCATCTGTACTGCATTCCCAGCTTTCGGGAGGCAGTTTTAGCAGTGTTGAGGATGTGTGACTTCCATGACATATTAGAGGAAATGGTAGAGTATATATTGTCTTTCATGGGGATAGTTTGGTCTAACCAGGTTTAATCTAGGCCTGATGAGAGCTAATAGGTATGTGATGACACTTGATGTGTGGGACTGGCCTTTGCCACAATCTCAAGTTTATTTTTATATTGATTGTTATACTGTACTGTACAGTATTCTTGTATG